CGTTTAAACATTATTGTTTATACTTTTATTTTTAATTATGTCAGTTTCGGTCTTCCATACATCCTGAGAGACTAAATTCCAATTTCCTTCACTCCTACAAACTTCAAGTACACAACAAAATGCATTTAATGACTAAAAAAGTGGGTTTTGTATAACTTGTTCCCTTTAAAGGTGAAATAAAACTGATTAGGCACCGTGAATTTTAACCTTAACACAGYGAAGCTTCACGCCACAGAGGATTACGATCAGTGTTTTTTGCAAGATCTGGTGCTTAAGAAAGAGCAACTGTGGCTGAAATGTTGCCAATATAATCACCGGGTTTGAGACTGACTCATTTTATCCTGTGTTTATGTCTGCCGTGACTTGTGCCTGATGTGAATTAATGGATCAATCTGTAATCAGATTCCCTTCCATAACACACAATAAAGAGCAAATCCCTTTGTCTAATAGAAACTAGTTGATGAGTGAAGCTCAGCTTTAGGTTTAGCAGCTTCCACCAAACTGCCTTAATAATAAATATGGGCGTGACAAACATAAAACATGTGGAAACGGTATCAGCTGAAGTGCTTGTTGTGCTAAAAGAAACTCCCACACTGGAAACGTCTCTGAGCGTTAAAATCTGCACAGGAGCACAATCGTGTCAAATATCAAGGAGAAAACGGTGATTAAGCATCAGCTGTCTATTAAAGTGAAGATGTGGGGAGTGTTTTAGGGCTCCATTAGCTAATGAAGTTAGTGCAGATGAGTGGACGTGGTGTGGGCCTGCAGCCTGGACGCGAGTCAAACCGGTCAGGCTTTCAAAACAGATTCTGTAACAGCAGCACCGAAGCGTTGTGATATGTTTGAGTGTTTAACTCACCGATGAAGGCAGTGACTTTGGGGTTGATGATGCCGCTGGGCAGGAGGTGAAAGTCATACTCAATTGAGTCGACCACCACTGTGTGYCCGGCGTTGTTGCCGCCCTGCAACAAAAGAAAGGAGACGATGGGTAAACAGAACCACAGAGAGGACAAACAGGCTGTGTAGATTTATTTTGAAGATCRTGAAGACTGGCTGAATAACTTGGCAAGTAGTAACAAGCATCACTCATTCTACAGCTGTCTGTGTTGGCATTGTGACACTGTGCTGTCGTGTAAAGTTTCACCCAAACAAGGAGGAACAAGTAGAATGGACTGCAGGCATGCAGCGGTTATTATCAGAAAACATTTATTCCTCACACCCAAAATCCTTCCAACATGTTCTGTCAAGATTACCGCTCCCAGAGGCTGCATCCAATTTCAAACAGCTCATAATCGTGCCCCGAAGTACACTCAGGTCACTTTCAAAGAAAAGAAATAGAGCTGGAGGAATACTGCATGGTTTTATAGATGAGCTTTWTCTCACTGGGCTGTTGGACACTCATTGGTGACTTAAAAACACCAGAAAATCCAAAAATATTCTGTTACAAACTCCCTTAAAGTGCCTGTGGCATCAAWTTTTTGTWATAAATATWAATGCATTTTTGAAAAGATAACATCGATAAAATACTGCAGAAMAAATGATGGACCGCTGAGAGGAACATGTTGAGATATTCCCCTGTGAAGTAACAGGAAGTGATGTCAAGGGGAATGTCTGCATGTGAACAGAGCATCGCTACAACAGCTGACTGTCGAGAAGAATCTCATGTTTCTTCATATTTTGAGTCGCGATCGGAGGCGGACGAAGAAGAGTCAGAGTTCAAATAATATTGTTCCAGTAAACAAAKACCAGAGAGWTCCCCTTTGATGTCACTTCCTGTTTCCATTTGGCTGAGCCAAATTCAAAAGAAAATACACCAGTTATGTGACGAAATAGGTAAAATTGTGTTTTGTGCTAAGTTTTTTAAACATAAAGATGTTTTCTTTGACTTTTTATATTTGAAGGATATGTATGACACAGGCACTTTAAATTCTGAATGTTTAAAGCTTTAGAAAACGTGTAGTCCAGCACAGCTGACTGGTACAGAAAGAASTAAAGTAGAACCTAAAAAGGAAAAGGCAACCGTGAGTTCCTCGAACAGGACGTGGCGAATYGAGCTGCTTTGCGCCTTCTTTTGCAGTCAGAATTGACACGTGATTCAGAAAGTAAAATGAACAAAAATGAACAGTTAGAGCCTAAATACAGCAGATTGATTGGGGCCTCGGYGGCTGGCGTCACAGTCTGCTGCCCTGTGACCAGGATGTGCTCCCAGCTGTGTCGACTGCGTGTATAAATCAAACCCAGCATGTGCTCCTGAAGTTATTCCTGGCCACTGAAGCACCCTGGAGGGGCAGAGGGGAAACTCATGATGGTGGCAAAGATGCCTCTCCTTTTAAAGGTGAAAAGTCCCTCCTCCCCAGCAGAACCAAACTCCAGTTTTCCCACAGTCCCATGATCGGACCTTTATTCTAGTGTTCAGTCATCTGCTGCTGTCCACTTCAGTGGTGTGGTTTTAAAAGACAAAAATGTAGAGTTTCAGAATTTTCTGATCATGAAAATAAAAAATAGAACCTATAAATTCTGTCATGAGACAAACTTTGCAATGACACTGGTCTTTCATGATGCTACCTGCATGGTATAGTTTCCCTTCCTATTAGTTTGTTTCTTCTGTGATTAATGTCAACAGATAACTGGAAGCAACACSAGTTAAACTGTCATCCTTTAGGAGTTTAGGAAATATTTATCAGCACAACAAAACCCTTTAATGTTTCTCGCCGCTGTGTGAACACTAACTCACTGAATCAGCTGGGTCAAAATGTAACAGGAACTTGTTGCAGGGCTATTCAACTGGTGGCTCGGGGGCCACATCCAGCCCGCATGTAAGCTCAATCGGGCCCACCATTGAGTTCATTCAAAAATACTAGRTTTTAAAACAAACAAAATGAGTGTATGTTTCTAACACATTTCTACATCCTTCAATGATTGTTTAGAAGTTAACGACATGTAAACTCATTAGCAAATATTCCTCACTTTTCTTTACAATCAAGACACTGAGACAATCGTTTACGGAAATTCTCACATTAGAGTTTGGACGCAGCACAGCTCGTTTATCATTTATATGATCTTAGCTTCAACATATGCTTTAATGTTCCTCACTGCTCAATGTCCTTCATTAAAAACGATTTCTGTCATAGAAAGTAACCTTTTCACTTTCGACTTGATTCCMTTGCTCTTCCTCTGACTCTGTTCACATCCGGAGACTAGTTTACAGACTCGATATCTGTCGCGTGGCGAGACCGTCCGGAAATTTACTCATCAATGTTTGAATGTAAACAAGTGACTTGTAATTGTTGGGAACAAAACATGACTCAGCTAATTTGCCTAATTAATTTAATACAAATTATATGTTAGATCTGTGGCAGTAAATGATGCATATTTAGTGGTTATTTTTCCTCATAGATTATAAACATATACAGAAAAATCTAATTAAAAACATTTTTAAAAAAACTGCATATTTGGACAGCTTTAAACCAAAGCCCTCAAACATATATCTGGACATTAAACTTAAAAAAGAAATTTAAGCTCAGACAGTTTTAAGTCTTATGTGATGCAATACTTCTCAGATATCCGAGCATCAAATTAAGGTTTGGTTTTACGGGAACACACATGCATGTTTCTGCAGAACAGGTTTGACGTGAGTACATGATATGTAAAGAAAACCATACGATATTTGTTTACCAAGCGTTTGGTGAAAAGGCTAACATTTACTGTTCCCCACCCAGGCCTTTCTTTTATTTCGATTTTGTAAATATCTACATAACTACAAAATTACGGAAGGGTGAACGTGGACAGTAACGTTTTTGCTCGTGTGTCCAAAATATCTCATGAACCCCTCTGAATTTTACAGATACTGAGCTGAAATTTGATATTTTAGTAGCTGAAAGTCGTCTCTAACACCTACTCTGGCATATTGGGATATTGCATTAGAGACACAGGAGGTTATTTTGACCAAAATGGCAACAACGCTGTCATATCTCAACAGGAGATTATCTTAGTTTAAAACTCTGATGTGAAAGGCGGCAGGTGATATGTATTCGTTCGAGGAATACTAACCCTTTCGTAACACATCATGAAAGAAAATGGGCTCCATCATGTGAGGCTGGAGAAATAAGTCTTCTGTTGTTGATATCTTTTAATAATTTGTAAATAAAAAGTTTCTGCACCTCTATATAGTCGTAAACCCCTCTCTCAAGCTGGAATGGACTGTTCTAGATGCTGGAGGGGGGGGCAGGGTGTGAAGCGCCACGTTTGGATTTAAAGAGACAGCCTCAAAACGTGTTGATCTGAGACTTACCTCAAAAAAAGGGGGTGAAAGAGGGGCTTGTGGAGTTAGAGGAAATCCGACCAAAGCATTGAAGTTCCTCTTTATATAGACCCCAACTGACTGATTTAAATGTGAAAAAGAAGGATTTAAAAACACAACATGTCTCCTACCAAAACCTTCATTCACAGTGTGCTGAAAGCTTAGGGTGTGGCCTGCTTAGGAACCAGCACCAGCTCCAGTGAATTATTTATTTCCAGGTACTTTGGTTTCCTCCCACAGATCAAAAACATAGATGTTAGCTTAACTTGTCCCTAGAGGTGTGAGTGATTTTATGTCTTATTTGTCTCCATGTGATGGTACCTGTCCGAGACGTACCCCCCCACCTCTCGCACAGTGACTGACAGGCACCAGCAGAAGCAGGTAAAGAAGACGGACGGACGGATGTGTAAATCAGTGTCGAGTGTTCTGCTCCTTCAGCTGCACACTGCTCTGATCCTAGAGGCCTGCTGGTTTGTAAGGAACGCGGAGCAAAACTGCTTGCATGGGAGGTTTTATAAAAAGATCAACACTATGAGCTCTGCTCACTCAAATATCAGTGAAGCCACCCCCTGAACATATACACTCATGTGATGAAGTATGGAGCGAGCCATGTGCACGGTACTTTTCCCCCCCTCAGTTTTAAATAGAGATTTAGTTTTGGCAGGAGTGCAAGAATGGAAGGAAGACGCTCCGATATTTAGGAGCAGCTCCAAGTCAACTTGTTATCAACAGAGAAAACTAATAATTAAACTAATACCTTAAACAGCAGATAAGGGCTGTGGTGTTATGAGCACCAGATAAATTAAAGGTTTGGCAGTTCTTGAAGGAAAGCATACCACCTGTTAGAGTTTAAAACTGAGATTATCTGGTGCTGAAAGGTCGTAGCCATTTTGGTCAAACTCAGACACAGTCATCAGCGTATGAGTTGGGAAAGACTCTCAACTACTACCACAACAAATTTTAGTTCAATACCTATAAAAATCACTGAATTGTTCATTTTTGTGTTTGCTAATGCTTCCTTGCTGTGGCACCTTCAACTGGACTGATTTCAAAAGTTAAAATGTTGTAGATCTATATCCTGAAAGTTATATTGAAATGCTTTGAGTGGTTCATGTATCAAATGTTTTAGTAACACGCACACACACCTACCCCTACTATGTCTCTATCCTTGTGAGGACTTTCCATTGACTTCCATTCATTTTTTGGAAATTTTATATCCTAACCCTGACCATAAACCCTAAGATTAACCTCACAGGTACCTACCCGGCCCTAAAACTAACCTAAACTTGGTCCTAAACCTAACCCTACACC